ATGGATGGAAGAAGGGGGAGGAGGGAGGAAGGGAGAGGGAGAGACAGGGGAGAGAATAACAATTTGTACACGTTCCTCTTTTTCCAGTAAAAATACTCATAGTCTGCAAATCTTTGGCTATCAGGTGTTGTGGTTGGGTGGAAGACCAAAGTGTACAGAAAGAGAGTGTAGTGCCAGGAGACAGCACAGAAAAACACATCCAGTTCCAAAGCACAGGAGACCAGAGCAGTCCCAAGCCTGGATGGGCAGAAGTGAGTCACACCCACGATGCTCCCGAGGACCAGACGAAAGAGAGAAGGAGGCCCCTGGTTTTAAAGTATGTGTTTTATCGGTATCTAACCTCCACTGGGGATCAGAAATACCCACAGTGCCATTGTAAAGAACCGGTGGACGCACTGTTTCCTCACTCTGGTTTCTACACACAACCCTCCTATTTCTAGGTCATCATCATCTAAGTTACCTCAGACGTGCTTTTGCAGAATATTTTTAATATCCATAAAGACCACAACGGCTTTAAATATCAGTTCTCCCTCACAAAGTAGCCACAGCTCCACAGTTGCTTCTTTTAACACGGCATTCAACTGGCATGCTTCCCTGAGATCTGCCTGTTCGCTGAAAACGTTTGTTTTTTCCACCTTGGAATTCTATGAACAGCTGGGCAATTTTCATAGCGTCAATGCAAAAGGGAAGATTTTAAAACTCTCCTTTAATCTAGTTCATAATGTGCAAATCTCCCTCAAGAAAACTTATTTGCATCTAAAAGTTAGCAGCAATTATATTCTTGTAAGGATATTTTTCTTCAGAAATGCTTAAATTCTATTATTTATTTATTTATTTATTTATTTATATATTTATTTATTTATTCGACTGGAGATTGAACCCATGGCCTTAGGTAGGATCCTCCGGTACTGAAATTTATTGTTAAAAATACCCATTTCTGAAAGATTTTTACTTTTCCTGAATAATGTGTACCTAAGTGAGAATTAAATGTACTTCTGTCCCACCTCGCCCTGACAAAAAAAAAAAAAATTTTAGAGATTACTTTTGATTTCCTAAATGCAAGCCACAAAGTAAATCTGGCTAAATATTTGAATTTTGCCCGACTCCGAAGCTCATTTTCTTTGTTCCCTTAAGATTTGGATGAATTCTTCCCGGTACTCAAGTCTAACTACGCTACCATAGGTCTCTGAGAGTCTCTTTCCTGCTCTCTCTGCCATCAGACACGCCGTCGCGAGCTGACTCTCCTACAGGAGGATCACAGTGCAACTGTGCGCTGCATATACATTCCTGACTCTCTGTATCTCCCTTCCTTTAATTGGCTCACACCCCAACCACGACTCACTAAGAAACAGGCCGTCCGTTTTCCTACAACTTTTGCCCCTGTTAGCTTCAGCTTTAGTCACCTATGACATATTTTACAGAGAGAGCACTCGGTTTTCACATGATCATTCAGAAGGTATCATAGGACCTTCCTGGTCCCAGCACTATAATGTCAACTCATCAAAGTGGCCACTCATGCATTTTCTGACTGATAGTGTTTTCAGATCACTGTTCATTCTGAATTTTTGGTCTCTGGCTCTGACAGTAGGAATTGGCCCTAAACTTAAGGTCTTTAGAAAAAGCGTCTGCATCATTTTTATCTCTCTCATTTCTGTATCCTAGAAATATGCAGTTCTCTATGGGGGAAAAGAACCCTGAAATTGCAATGCTGAATAATCGTGAAAACTGTTTCTGGTACGATTTAGGAAGACATTCTTTCCTTTATTTTGCAAGAGCAGAGAGAGAATAGGATTTGACCTTGAGTTCAATTAGAATAGGATAGTCAGAGCTTAGAATCTGACCTTGAGTTCAATTACAAATGAGGACTTCGGACCCTGATACTACTGAGCCTATGCAGTCATTAAATAACATTATGCTTAGTATAATCACAACCCTGTAAAGGTTCTGGCTTTTATGGGAAGATTTCCCTCCACTTTCTAGTCCAGCTGTGCTGTAGCAAGTTTTCCCAGTTGGTAGCTTTTCTGCTTTGAGGGCAGTGTTTAATTCACAGCTCTGAAAACAGAGTTATGCTCCGTTGACTGTAGAGTATAGAGGTCAAGTGGAATTTTGGCACATTATAATGCTCCCTCCCCTTCACTAAACAAACTTTAGTAGACACACATATTTTGTATTAAACGCTACACACAAGTATGGATGGCATATTCGCGGAAGGACTACCAAATGCATCAAGAATAAAGAAAACATCCTAATGATTCTTTCAAACACGAACATATTTAAACTTAGGTTAAACAGTCTTTCTATTTAGTCTTCTCAGACTTTGATGACATACCACAACTGGCTGTTTATCAAAAACTTAGAAAAATGCTTAGCAAGATATAATTGTGTACACACATCTATGCATAATTAAAGTCAGTTTATAACTTGGTACTGGATGGAATACGGCCACACCACCCAAGAAAGGTTGGTGGATGATAAATAACATATTTTCCTCCCCCATAAAGATAAATCTCAAGATGTGAATGCTTTGAGGTAACAGAATAGTCTGATCTCAAAAATCTTAGTTTAAAATATCTATTTCCAGCTTTACTGAGCTAAACAAAAGGTCTAACTAAGTTAGAAAATCCATTTAGATATCAGAAGCATGCTTATACAGGAACTGCATCTCTGCACGCCTCAGCACACAGATTCTGTGTGTTTCGGAGGGAAGTTTTACAGCCAAATCTTTGTTTATTTTATTTTTTCAAAATTCTACTATTTGTCTTATTCTTATTTTTCCTTTCAGTCAAAATTATCTGCGACTAAGTAATGGCTATTTTTCAAGAACACTAAGACAGAATTTATCTAAGTACTAAATAGTGTAATTTTGATTTGTCTTGTGACTTTGTCCATCTCGAATTACTAGGAAATCTAGCTTTTAACTGAAACTTGAATACTCCTTCCATGCTAGATAAAAATTTTGAGAGGAAAATAATAACACCTCAAGAATTCTTAGTCTCGTGTCTGACATTTTACACATCTTCCTATTTAACTCTCATAACTGTAAGATTTTGTATATTATTTAATCTAGCTGTAGATGTCTAAGACCATGCCTGAGACAATGTATAGACCAACAATTTGGCTCTAAGTTTCCTTTTTCTATTCGTTTAAGAGCCCAGATCTTTTCCTATTGTATCCTGCATCCTATCTATGAAAGATGCTCAGAACGTTGAGAGAACAACTAAGGTGATACATTAGGTTCTTATATGTTCTCTAAGGCAAGTACTACGTTAGCAGGCTATGACATAGTAAAACCTTGGAGCGTTATCCTTAGAGTGATAAGACAGGTCTGCTTAACGAAGTAGAAGACAGCACATGGGTTGTAAATAGCTGAAGAATAATGTGTGCAGGGCTCTACGAAAGCACCAGAAGCAACATACGCACATACATTTGCATGTGGTTAGAAAGAGGTCTTACAGGATCCATGAAAGAAAGTTAGCTACTTCTGCTCAGCAAGCTAAGAGTCACTGGGGGAGGGGGAAGGGGGACGAATGTCACTTTTGAATGTATATTCATCACTGCTGCTTACAGATTTTGCATGCAGTTGCATGTATTGCGTTCACAATTAAAAATGATTGAATGAACGAGTTGAATAGTTTTCAGGCATTATTCAGGTGATTAAGCAACTTTAATCTCACAAAGCACAACTGCAGTTTTGGTTCACTGCTCGGTGAGCAGTGCGCTGATGCTACGCCTGTAGAGAGCTCAGACGTCACCAAGTGTATCGCATTGTGCCTTACTGAATATCAACAGCAGGCAAGAGCTGTTATTTCAGATGTAGCATGACCCAAACAGAGCTTTCAAGCCTGTTCTTCCCATTCCTCCACCAGGTTTGCCCATCGGTCCGTATGGCACTATCATTTCTCAGCTTGCCTGAGCAGAAACCCAAAGGGGTACCTATGGTCTCTCTTTCCTTTCTACCACTATGCTGCAAACAACAGCATGCCCAACTTGACCCACTGGTAAGATTTCTTGACTCATTTCTCTCTAACGCAGTGGTTCTCAGTCTTCCTAATGCTGCAACCCTTTAATACTCATGTTGTGGCGACCGCCTCCAATCATAAAATTATTTTCGCTGCTACATCATAACTGTAATTTTGCTACTGTTATGAATCATAACATAAATATCTGTGTTTTCTGATGGCCTTAGGCGCCCCCCCATGAAAAGGTTTTTGACCTCTAAAGGGTGTGGATCCATGGGTTGAGAACCACGGCTTTAAGATCTTCTTCACATTGCCTCTATCTTCGAACTAGGCTACTAGAGATCGTAGCTAGTGGCATTCCTGCTTTCATAATTGTTCTCTATTCTCTGCTCGGCAGTCAGAGAAACCTTGTACTCCCTCAGCTGAGCCTCTTCAGTGGCTCCTCTTATTTAACATGGAAATGTGAGACTTTTGCTTTCAAGTCTACGTTCCTTACTCACTTGGTGCTGGCCTTTCCCGACTGCTTTCTGCTTTTCATGGGTATCAAGAAGATTTGGGCCTCTGGGCCTTCTATTTGCCTCCTTTTTCCTGGACCACTCCTCTCTAGCTTGACTACCTGACTAGCGCCTTGACTAAGTGGAATTCAGAGAGCGTAAGTCATGTAAGTTTGGTCATTGGATTTGTTACATGGTGGAGCTGTATTCCAATGTCTGAATCATTTCATGTTTTGCCCATGGCTTTCGATAGCAAAAGTCAACGTGAACCATCATGGGCCCTGGCAATGTTTCTAACAGTCGGTCAGCAAACAGTTTCATGCTTAAAAAAAATGCAGGAAAAATAGAAGCCTTCAGAAGTTCCCTTTTCAGGTTTCTCTTCCTATCTTGAGTATGTTTTCAGGCTCCTCAGTCAGATTGAGGTCAGGTAGAGTAGAGATCTCTGATGGACGCATTGGGGAACCTTTGTCTTAGAGATACAAGGTCAAATGTTCTCCATGTCAGTACCAACTATAATATAACATAGTCAAAAACTTGCATAACTTACTTAGTCAGATGTCCAAAGAGGATTTTCATGGTGTCATGATTTGGTGGAGGGAGATCTTTTACCAGAGACTTTATAGCTTCAATTTTTGCATTATGGTCTTGTTTTTCTGAAACGAAATTGAAAAGAAACATTAGGAAAGACAAAGATTCCACAGGTATATGAAAGGGTTTCTGATGAGACTTTTAGACTATGACTTAACAACAGTACTGATCATTAGCTCCCAACCCTCTTGTAGTGAGATTCTCGATTTGATGATAAGTTAGACTATAAGCACACCAAAAACAGTAACAGGGTGACTTTGGTACAATCTTTTTGTTGAGATTAGATATGGAATTACTTTTTTTACACTTTTATTTGCAAAGCATGGGGTGAATAATGCATTCCAAGACATTCATGGCCTCTAATCCTTGGTAAGAGAGTCTTTAAAGGTGCAGTCTGGTTAGGAATTGACACAGGGAGACCTTTCTGGAATGTGACCTCTCAGCTCCATATCACAGGCGGTCGAGTAGATGAGAATTAGAGAGAAGGTAATAGGGCAATGAGAACACAGAAGGGGTGTCTGATGCAGGAGAAGCTGCCTTTGCTGGAAAAGACAAAGATACAGAACCTGGGGAGAAAACAAACCTGTCGATACCTAGAGTTATGTTTGGTGAGGCTGACGGCAGATGTCTAACCTTCAAGACTGGAAGATAGTGAGTTCATGTTTCTGAAGTCAGAGGTTGGCATAAGGACACACAATGTGACTTAATTATAAATATGCTGCAATTATTCTAAATATTCCACCGTGGTTTTGATTTTGTGGGGGACACTTTTGAAGGAGCAGAAAATATAATTTTAATAATCTCTGTGTATTTTAACCTCATATATTTTGGTTTTGCTGATAAAACAAGAGCATTGCAAATCTCTCAAAAGTCAGGAGGTAGTTATTCAAAAGTGTGTACCCCATTGATTGCTTCCCTCATGCTGCTCCTGTCAAAGAGAGGTGGTGCGTGGAAAATGAATCTCCCTCCTTGGTAAGAGTGTCACGGTAGCCAAGGCCTTCCAGGGTAGAGGTGTAAATATCTACTCTTCTTTAACACTTCCTTCCCACTGAACTGGGTGTCTCCCTAGCTCATAAACTCTCTCTCTCTCACGTCTAGCACATGCTCCTCAGAACTCCAAAGACTTCTTTTCTGGACTCATGACGTATGAGAAAGTAGTACATGATATGGACACCCACACAGTATCCATTTTCTTCTTCCTTAGCATGATAATACCTTTGTGAACAGGAAGGTAACATGTCTGTGTGGTCAACCGGTCCCTTTCTCAACCTCCCCTGTAGCTGGGGTGGCCATATGACCAAGTCTGACCAGTCAGAGCCAAAGTCATCTGGGAGTTTTAAAAACTTGAGAATGCAGACAGAAGTCTTCACTGAGAGCTGAGCTTGAGAACTGAGGCTCTGAACATGGAACACATGTTAGAAGGAATGGCTCTGTGAAGCAGCAAGACCTGGGTTTCTTTGACATATAAAAATGAACCCTAGTGTACTAAAGCCTTTGCCGGTGGGTCACTGATACCAAGGCAAATAGTTCCTATAAAGATGTCCTTCCAAAACCCTAATACTTAATCTCTTGCTAATTGATACGTGGATTTTATATAGTAGGCTAAGGAAGAATCAGTTCAGAAGCTGACCGTTTTCTTATGCGGTGTTGCGAAAAAGACATTTAATAAGGCATTATAAGAGAATGTCCTACTGAAGATAGTATTTTGCTAAAGTGGAGTGAAGGCTGTCTTCCTACTGGTACCCTACTTGAAAGCTCTACTTTTCCCTCTTAAAACCACAAAGGTCTGTAAATAACGCTTCCCACAGTCAAAGCTTTAAGAATTACCATTGTTCTTAATTTTAAGAGTTCCAATAGTATACGACTTGTATACAAAGAGGAAAAAAGAAGAGAATAAAAAAGCAGTTACCACACCTCTTTGTAGAGTAGCCCCTCTGTTGTGTAATTGTTGTAGGTGCTTCACAGAGCCCTAGTGAATATGAGACCACATGCAATGAAGTCAAGAAAAACGGCAGGGAAGTGTTGGTCTAGTTACCTGGTCAAAACTATCCAGGCATGCTCTATGCCTTGTAGCTAACGTTGTATAGTCACCTGTGCAAGACTTACTGCATTTCCATTGCACAAATGCCTTTCAATCCCCCATCCCATCAAACTGCATTTTTCTCTGAAGCAAAGTGAGTTCTCTACCTGTAGGTAATGGATTCAATGAGAAAGAAATGAATTAGTGAATGAAAGCGATAAGCATGGGTTAGGATGGATGGATCTTACTTTAAATTCTTTAATAGCCTCTTATAGCTGTACTGGATAGCTTTATGTCAACTTGGAGCAAGCGGAGGTCATCAGAGAGGAGGGACCCTCGACTGAGAAAATGCCTTCATTAAGACTATGCTGTAGGCAAGCCTGTAGGGCATTTCTTAATTAGTGATTGATGCAGAGGGCCCATCCCATTTTTTGGTGATGCCATCCCTGAGTTGGTGATCCTGGGTTCTTTAAGAAAGCAGGCTGACCAGGACAGGAGGATCAAGCCAATAAGCAGCTCCCCTCCGTGGCCTCTGCAGCAGCTCCCTGTTTGAGTTCCTGCTCTAACTTCCTTTGATGATGAATTGTGATGTAGAAGCAGAAGTCAACTAAACCCTTTCCTCCCCAGGTTTCTTTGGCCATCACAGCAATAGTAACCTGAACTAGGACATTAGCTTTGTGGCCACATACACATTTCTTATTCTCTGACTAGAATCCAAATGAGGAGCTTTATGGAATAGGCTATAGTATTCAACATACTTTGCACAAACAATAGTGAAACTAAGTACTCTATAAATGCTCATCTTCCAATAAAAACATTTTTGAGATTCAGTTCACCCGCTTATAGCACATAGCAATTATCTTCTTGCAGTAACCACTAAAATGTAGTTACTATTTGTGTGTGTGAGTGTGTGTGTGTGTGTGTGTGTGTGTGTGTGTGTGTGTTGGGAAAGGCTATGTACACAAGAGAATACTGGTACTTGTAGAGTCCAGCAGCGGGCATCAGGCCCCCCAGAGCAGGAGTTACAGGCTGTCTGAGCTGCCTAATAGGATGCTGGGAAGTGAACTCAGATCCTAAGAAGTACTACTAACCACTGAGTCATCTCTCCACTCCTCGCTACTGATTCTTCAGCTTGTTTGTCCATTGGTCCATGTGCAACTGCTCTCCTAGCCAGGCATTAGGTAACATGCTAAATACTTTTGTAATGGCCAAAGAGATTGACATAATTGGAGAGTGGTTATACATAGGAAAGTTTATAAACTGTGGTGGTTTTTGTCTATAAGAAACATTTTACATTAAAAGCATTTTTATAAAATGTTCCTTCTTTTTCTACTTTTGAGGAATCAGACAATTGAATAGTTATGTAGATATTTGTGGCTAAGTTATACCAAGGGAAACAAGCACAATGGACTAAAGAAGACTGAAATACGAATGAGGAACAACTCTTTTTCCCGACAACTGAGTCTGAACAAAATCTTTTTGGAGAACTAGAAGAAAACAACATTTTACCATTTAAATCAACACCACATAACCCTTTCAGGGCATGTAAATAATATAAACGTGCCTAAGTGGGAAAGCATCTAAAAACACAATGGAAACATTAAAATTAAAATAACAGTTTTTCAGTCGGACTTATACTGTGTCATGCTAGGCTCTGGGATCACCTTCCTTAAGCCAGGAGTGGTTCCTATGAACTACGAATCATACACAGCTTACTATGACCATGTCAACAGTCTTCAGTTGATTCCATGAACACACAAATGACAGGATTTTCTGCCATTTCTCTCTTAGCATGTAGTTTCTCTTACATGTGAAGTACTCAAAATCTGAGACTATGGTGTTGTTTGACTCTCTCTACTTATTGTTAAAACTATAGAAAGTAAAGGAACATTTTCTTTATGGAGACTTGAAGACCTCTTAGCAAAACTGTATGTTAAGAATCAGAAACTATTTTTTTTTTTTTTTTGGAAATAGCGGTGTTTTCTCCTTTGCTGCACTTAATTCTACTTTTGTTCTAGCGCCCCTGATTTTTAGATGTGCTCTATGTTTCCAATTATCTTTATTTAGTCCCCCGCCTCCAGCTCATGCTTCCAGTCTCTAAACTGGGAACCTTCAACCACACACAAGACATTTCTGCATTCATTTTCGCCATCTAACAGAAATTCTGAAGAATTTTCTGTCAACTCTGGACTTGCTAGCCCTGTCTTCTCAAACTCCAACAAACCAGAGCAATAAATCAGCTTTCTCAGACACGTTTCTATGCTCCTTGGAGAAGTCACATCTTTCATGACGTGAAATAGACTTCAAAGTTATGGTAAGAATGTGGCTTTATGTTCACCATATTAATGGTTCTTAGGTCACTTTTTTAAAAAAAAATACGATTTATGAAAGTAACATTTGCATTTATCTGTGCGAAAGGTTACTACTGAAGCACATTTACAATCAAATGCTTTATAGAAAAGAGATAAGATAAAGTTATACGATGATGGAAAGAGTTTGGCCCAGTCAAGAACCTTGGGATGGATAACCTCCAGTCACTTTCTGGCCTTATCATCCACGGTCTTATTTTTCTTATTTATAGATGCATATTAAATCACATTTTGAAATAGATTCTGTTACATTATATAGGTCCAGGGAATGAAAAGTCTTGATTCTGCCAGTACATAATTCACATAAGTCTTATTTATCTGACTGTCTATAATTCTTAAAAGATCGTTATAACCCTGTGTGCTAAAGAGGTCTCTGTGTGCAGCTGTTCTTCTGAAGTGTATTCTGGAACATTAACATGTCTTGTATGAAACTATTATATGTCGGGCTGTGTTTAGAGTACGGCAATCCTCTAGTTTCGGTTGAGTTACGCTCTTTGTGTTGTGGCCATTTCAGAACGTGCTGAGAGGCTGTCATTTACAGCAATAAATATCATCAGGTAACATCCTTTTCATTTCAGGCTATCCTACTGATAAAATAAATCCTTCATAACACATTTTCAATGACAAATTTTAGATGAAGATGAGAAATTCACCAAACTATAACAATTGCTTGTTC